AGAGGAGGTGCCCAGGGAGAGGGGAGAGGTGCAGGGTGGCCCACTACTGGCCAGCATAAGCAATCACCTGCTTCTTTGTGATTTTTCAGTCTACAGTTTTAAAGTGGGGCCAACAATAAGGCTCACCTAAATCACAGAAGGGCTGTGAGGATTAATGAGGGAAGTTAGGCAAAGCAGGCCTGGTACTGAAAGTACTGCATAAACACAGGGCCTTAGAGTAGCTCTTTGTCTGAATGGTTGGTTGATTTCTTTTAAATGCCAGTATCCACAGTTTTCCCTTCTCTATTAATCCCTTTTATAAACCATAATGCTATTATGTTCTCCCCAGTAAGTTAATTTAGGCAATAATTGTAAACCCCAAAATACAAGCTACTTGATCAAAAAAAGCAAGGTATGTATAGCTGAGAAGGAAATCTAATTAAAATATTAATAAAGTTAGAACTACAAGGAAAAGGAGAGTTCATAATGAAGTTCAATGCCTCGTCATCTGAGCACAAATGTTCTCAAGTGTTGATTTTAGCATAGTCTTTCCAAATCTTAAAAGACTGAACAGATGCTCCTAAAAGTCACTCAACTACATTACTAATTTGGCACTATTTTTTTCTGTCCTCTTCGTAATAGGAGATGGGGGTAGGGAATGGGGATGCAAAGTAACTAAGCCCCCCAAACTGGCCATCCTGAAATAACTGATCTGGAATCAAGGGGCATAAAATATAACCAGAAAATGGTTTTGCAGGTCTTCCTTTATCAAGGAAGATGTTTGATCATAACTGTATTTGAAATCCTCATAAATTAACAATGTCCACCAAAAGAAAATGGTAACATTTACAAGATAAATAAGAAGATTTACCTTTGCACTAGTTTCAAAAGAGAATATCAAATAGATTCTACATAGAAATAGAATTTGGGATCTGATCATATTACATTTTGGCAGGCAAAAAGAACATAAGCTTGCTAAGAACCAAACACCATGCTTTCAGCTCCTATACATTTTACCTAAATGGAACTCTTCTACATGGGAAATAGTATCCCTTTATGCAGCAAAATCCACCACGAGTCCAACACCATTTTCTCAAACTCCATTTCCTTTCTACAAGTCACTAAATCACCTTATTACAACCACCAAAAGCCCTGCTTGCAATGATAAGATACACGTACTTTTTGATATATGCTTTAGCTTTTCAAGATTCTACTGCAAACAAAATGATCGTTTATGACATTTTATAATATTCCACCCTGTTTATTCTTTCTAGAATTTCTCTTTTAAGGGGCCTTCTCTACCCCCTCCCCAAAACTAATCTGTTCCTCAACTGCCTATCAGAGACTAAATAAAAGTCAGTCTATCACAGCAGCAGTGATGGTCATGCCAGTTTCACAGCGTGATTTGTGCACTCATTTCATTTTGAAAATGACCCTGCCCTCCATCTGTCTAAGCCGAATGTCCTGCTTTTTTCAAGCCAGGCCTCTGGAGCAACATCACTGGAAATAGGGAGGAAGACACAGAACAGCCTCCCTCCTGCCCACTTCAGCTGCCACACTCACAGGTAACCACACAGAGAGGAGAACCCCGCCTGATACCTGCAGAGATCAGAGAAATTTGGAGGAGAGCAGATGGCCCTTTTATCTTTTATACATTTTCAAGAATCCATTTGAAGGTGAATGCTTTCATGATGCAAATACAACTCTGCAAACCAGAGTCACACTAAAGATATAAAAGGCAATTTTCCATTTCCATGTTCTTGATTTAATAGCAACTTACCCAAGGTTTCCATCTTACCTTGATTTAATAGCAACTTACCCAAGGTTACAGTCCATAAGGATTTTAAAATACAGACATTCCCCAATTTACACAGAACTCTCACTTACAAACAGGGGCTATTGCAGGTCATGGTAACTGTATCTGCTCCAACTTACTTCAAATTTAACTTAAGAACAAAACTACAGAACCTATCTCATTCATAACCCAGGGACTGCCTGTACTGAGACTGTTGTGCCCAAGAGTTCCACAAAGACCACACCGTCAACCAAGTTAAATTTAAAGAGGAATCCTTTTATTGAAGAGCCGGCCTCAGTGTCTCAACATGGGATTTCTGAGAGTAGCCCTGAGGGCTTAAGGCGTGGAGTTTTTAAGGCTTAGTCTGCATTGTGCTTGGCATACTGGCTGTCCAGGTGCATCTGGGTAGGGTAGCAAGCAAGCATTGTACAGAAGCAGAATTTTGTGCTTAGTTAGTCATATGTCATAAATCTTTGTTTTAATATTTTCCCCCTATACATCTTAGTTTCAGTACTTTCCTCCCATATGTCTTAGTTTAAGTATTTTCCCCACCTGGTATTTTTTAAAAGTCAGTCTGGGAACAGTTGGTACCTCCCAGTCTGATTCCCAAGGAGTTACCAAGCAAGAAACTTGGAGTGAACTAGAAGCAAGAAATTAATTAGTACTTACCCATCTATCTTGGGAGTGAACTAGACTTATTTCATTTTTTTTGAAAGCTTGCAGTCCAGAAAATTTGACAGGAGTTAACTGCTATTTTTCCATTATAGCCTAGGCCTGACATCTTTCTGTCTTAGCCTAGTCCCACTAGGCCTAACAAGACATTTCCAAGGAAGACGTAGTAGACCACCAGCCCTACGACCAAGATGAACCCTGTCCCCCACCTTATTGAGCAGCAATTGTCAGCATCTCTCCAACCACATACTTACCTGTGTTTGAGACTTTAAAAAGGGTGCACCTAGAGATCAGGTTGAAAGATGCCTCAGAAATGGTTATAGTGGTATTCCTCATTTGCTTCATGTGGGGAACTAGAATGAATAAAAGCCTCATCCAATCCTTCTAAAATGGGTGCAGTTTGTCCCTTGCTTAGTATTGATACATTGTGAGACTCCTTCCACCAAAGAAGACACAACTCTGCCAATTCTTGGCAAAGGAAAAGACCGGATAAGCACATTAACTCAGGCATTTTATGAAATGAAAAAAAGTTCAGCACACCTACTGAAGTTTCCTTCTAGTGATAGTAGGTGACTAAAAGCTATACAACCCCCACTAGTCACTTCCTAACAGCTGTGATTGAACCTAGAGGTTCAAAATCTGCTGCCCGCTCCCACTTAGTTGGTTGGCATAATGGAGGAAAAAAGACATTAATTTTCCTCCATACATATTTGGCCCCAAACATTTTCCTTACAAACTCATCTATAGAAGATACATAAATTGGGTTATTCATCAACATTTTGTATTGAAATTAGCTTTGTTGTTATCTAGGTAGGGGTGGTCTAGAGCAATCTACTTAAACCTTTAAACCTTTCTAGCCCACAGTGTTCTTCATCTGAATGTGGATATTATAGAATGATTATGAAACTTAGAATTAATATATATAGGTTCCAGGCCTGTAGCTCAGCGACTAGGGTGCCGGCCACATATACCAAGACCATTGGGTTAAAACCTGGCCTGGGCCTGCCAAACAACAATGACTACTACAACAAAAAAATAGCCAGGTATTGTGGCAGGCACCCAAAGTCCCAGCTCCTTGGGAAGCTGAGACAAGAGAATTGCTTAAGCCCAAGAGTTTGAGGTTTCTGTGAGCTGTGATGCCACAGCACTCTACCAAGGGTGACATAGTGAGATGCTGTCTCAAAAAAAGAAAGAAAGATAGATAGAAAGAAAGAAAACATATAAGTGGTCTATAATAAAATGGCATACCATATAGTTGACATCTCTGAAATTTAAATATAGAAAAGATTTAAGGGCAGTAATACCACTGAGGAGGCACATAAAGGACTTGTATTGAAGTCTCTAATTACATAACACAGACATACTTTTATTTGTTCTATGTTTATGTTAGGTGCTAGACAGACTAATGAAGATCATGAAAGATCAGTGAATGTCATGAGAGAGCAAGGAAAACATTGGCTTCTTAATGGCAATAAAACTAGAGGGGCAGAACAGTGGATAGAGCCAAGTTTAAATGTCAACATATACTGAGTTATATTGGTTGATACAGAAAAGGATGGAGGCGATATGTGGATCCAAAACTGATCCTTTCCAGTACCAATCAAGATTCATTTTTTTCTTCTCATTAACCACTGAAAGTGACCAAAATAAGGACTCCTGGTGGCTGCATTCTTCTATTCTTATAAAGTGTGTCCTCATACCAGCATGAGAACCTGCTCTTATTTCAGGGGAACGTCAAGAAATGACCCTCCCTTCCCATGGAGTTCTCAAACAGGGAACTGGCAGGCCCTGCTATAGGCATTGCTCTGGGCATTCCTTAAATGTGCAAACACTGTTTAGCTGAGTCAGCAAGTCCAAAGCAAAGTTTGGAACTACTCTGATCAAAAGATTGAGACAGGACAACTTTCAACTGCTTAAAACCAAGATGGTGGAGAAATCAACCAACTTTTGACCTTATAGCTTCATTACACAATTCATTGCCAGAAGGAATTCCCACTCCCATCAAGCACCTGATGCCATGACACTGACCATATTTAGTGAAAAGGAGGTTAAAATAGAATTCCAAAAAAAAAAAATACTGTCCCTTTCTAAGAAACAACGTGAATATTGCTTCCCTTGTTTAGCCTATACTTAAGCCCTTGCTTAAATATAGGGGCTAAAGGAACCACAAAGGCTACTCTCCTCCACAGAGAGAACTAGTTTTCTGTGGAGCAGACCTTCTATACTTTCTAAATAAAACTTGCTTTCACTTAATAGTGTATGCTTGCTCCTGAATTATTACTTGGGCGATTCTGAGGACCTACTTAGACTTCAAGTAATTCACAGAATTAGGGGTCACTTTCCAGCATCCTTCCTACCCCAACAAAAATGCAAAATGCCATTACTATGGACTATGCTGTTTACTGGCTCAAAGATGAAAGGGACAACAGTCAGTAAACCTTTCTTCGCCTAGGCAGAGACCAACTGAAGTGGCATAACACAAACAGCGACCCACCTGCACGGTCTAACAAGCAGGGAGGGTGGGGACTCTGCATCCCGCAACAAAGGGCAGGCGATGGAACTGAGACTACGCTTCCCAGGACGCACCGCGGCACATCCCGACTACCATCGCGGCCAGAGCGGGGCACGCCGGGACGGAGATTCTTGGGCTGTAATGGGCCTCGGGAACTCCCTGTCCCTACGCTGGCGGCTGCCACTGCACTGTCCAGGATCTTCGAAGACCAAACCAGAAATTGAGAGACTCAAGACACTGATATATTTTTTAACAGGTTACTGCCCGGACAAAGTAACTACCGATAGGCTTCCGTTTCCGGTTGCCTTGTTGCCGTGGTAACGAGCACGC